GAACCCGCTCAGTGGTCTGCAAGCTGCCATCGTCTCACTAAGTGCTCAACGAGACGGCGTTTGAAAGGCGTCTCGTACTGCTCCTCCACCACCTCCAACGGGAGTGAATTCCAGAGGGAAGTCGCCCTCCGGGAAAGGGGATAGACCAGAGGAAGCCCCGTTGACTGAAGCTTCCGGAAGGTGAGCCTGTGGCCGCGCGTCCGGTTGCAATCTCGCAGTGGAAACGGCACGTAACTCCGGTCCCAGATCGCCACGTAGAATCTTCCACAGGTAGACCAAATCCCCGCGGAGTCTCCTGTAGCTAACGGGGTAGAGTTTGAGTGCCTGAAGCCGACCTTCCTAGCTGATCCCATGAAGTCCCGCGACTAGGCGGGTGGCGTAGCGCTGTACTAGTTCCAAGTTGGCCATTTCGGAAAGCGTGCAGGGGTATACAGTGGGTCCATTGTATTCACGCCGGGGGCGAACGTGGAAGGCAAACAGCCTCTTGAAGGCTGTAAACGATAAGATGAGGTCAACTGGGAGGGCAGGTCATTCACAAACAGGAGGAACAATACAAGTCCTAGAACAGAACTCCGTGGCACTCCACTGGTGACAGGATAGCGACACGACTCTGTCTAGGCAACTCTGACAGTAAACATCCTTTGGACGAGGAAATCCTCAATCCATGCTAGCAGAGGGTCCGTGACACCGTGAGCCATCAGATTCTCCAACAACCGTCCATGTGGCACCTTATCGAATGCCTTGCTGAAATCAATGAAGATGACGTCCGTTTCATGGCCGGCGGCCTTGGCAGACGCCCATTGATCCCGAGCAAGTAGCAGATTCGAGACGCAAGATCGCTGCGGATGGAACCCATGCTGCTCTGGACACAGAAGATCATGTAGTAGGAGGTGTTCCCGGAGTCGCTTGGTGAGTACATATTCTATCACCTTGACGGCCACACAGGTGAGACTGACCGGGCGGTAGTTGACGGGGTCCCCACGGGCTCATCCTTTAAAGAGAGGGCGTACAATCGCGGTTTTCCCCTCGGACAATGATTGTTCGAACAAGACGGCCAAGGTAGGTGCAATGACCAGCGCCAGCTCCTTCAGCACAATGGGATGCAGTCCGTCCAGACCCGGTGACTGGTACGGTTTCAGAGCCCAAAGTGCATCACACACCTCATCTACCAAGATGGCTTGCCAAGACAGCAGAGGCGCAGAGCACGATAGTCGGGGTGTCGGTGATGTATCGGTGGCGTAGACAGAAGCACAGTGTTGCGCAAAAGCTTCCGCCTTTTCAACATCGGTTTCTGCCAGGGCACCGTTAATCTTCAAGGATGGTACGTCAGCCGTTGCACGCGTGCGGTGACGGAGGTATGCATAGAACCGCTTTGGATGCCAGGGCTTTTGTACACCCGCCGTTTTCTGGATTTCATTTTAGAGCACGCATTATGCAGCACCTTGTATTGGTTATAGTTAGATGCGTGAGTGTAAAACGCTTCCAAGCCCTGTTTGGACGCTTAAGCATCTGAAATAACTCGCGGTGAAACCAGGGGGCCCATAGCGTGTGGCCGGAAGAGTTTAGGAGGAGAGAAGGCTGCCATCAATTTGAAGATGCCGTCCCAGAAGATAGTTCAGGCAAGGTCTACTCCCTGAGGGCAGGTGATCACCTAGGGGAGGGACTTGGCTGCGATCTTCATGCCATCGTAGTCCGCTTTCCAGAGATAGGGTCC